CCAAATCATCTACCAACCTTCACAAGAAGGACCCCACCGCGGCGACAGCCACTCTTCATTTTCCTAATTTGGCAACAGCAAATTCCCTTTGCCTTAACAGTCCGATACCAACTTCGACAACAACAACACTCTAATTCGGCGACAAGCACTTATTACCTCTTGGAGAACAAGGAACACTTTTTGTGGCGACAGCGCAACTTATTATTCAGTCTACTATACGTGGCTTTTTTCGGGTGGATCAGTACCAGGTAAGCCATTATCTTTCAATAACGAAAATAGATTACTCAGTAACTTGTGCAGTAAATTTTTCCAAAACACGTTCACTTCACCGCAACACGTTCACAGCATGCTGCAGTGGGCCTTTTTCAGTTTCCTTTCTCTTACACCTGCCATGAGCCTCTCAGTGCACGTAGTTTTCACGTAAGGCCGCGTGAAAGTTTTAGGCGCGGAAATGGATAACTCGGGAACCAGAAAAGCCCGGATGCTGAAATTCACAGAGAATGCTCCCAGCCTATGTACGGCATAAATTTATCACACTCAACCCTTCCCCTCCCCACTCTCTCCCTCCGTCTTCTTCCGGCCAGCGTGATTGTTACGTACGGCCTCGTGAATGTTTTTGCCGCGGAAATGGATAACGCGAGAACCAGAAAAGCCCGGAGGCTGAAATTTTCAGGAAATGTTCCCAATCCATGTACGGCTTAAATTTATCAAACTCAGCCCCCGGGCTTGCGAGGTTGTCACGTACGGCATCGTGAATATTTTTGGCAGGGAAATTGCAAACTCAAGAAGAAAATTTGGAAAGCTGAAATTTCAACGAAATGTTTACCGTCCAACTGCCACATAGACAGTTAACTTCCCAAGCTTTGAGGACCAGTATATCACACATGTCCAGTTACTACATTTCCGAGCCATCTCATTACGGCGTGCAGCATCGCAAAAACGCATAATCGCACGGGCTCGTCCAGTGCGCATCGGCAATAATATATCCTCCTCTTGGTATTCATGCTGCAGAACTTCCCCTCCTCCCGCACAAAAGAGCTGCCAAAAATCCCTCCTGCCCACCAAGCAGTCCTCATCGCCCGTGCCATCTGCACCTCACCTACGGCAACGAACGGAACGCTACCGCATACATTATCAGTGCGCTATAGTAAGGCCGGTGTGTAACGGCGTTAGGGCCTGCTGTGCAAGTGGGGAGTCCTGGAATAGCTATTAGCACTGTACGGCAAATACAGTATTTATTGATAAACCAACCACTTCCCACACGAAATGATTTTCCTGTAAGCGAATCCCAGTCCAGCAAAAGCAATATATGTGAAGTACATAGGTTATGAGCAATATACTGGTTGATCACAGTTAACAGTGGAAAACGCACGACTATTCAAGATCATGAGCATTTTAGGGGGGACTGTCTCTGCCACTCAAACGCATTAAGCTATTTCCTACATTTCCTACATACTACTTTAAATATGCAAACCTAATATAC